ATTTAAGAATGGCCATAATGTCCTGGCATAATGTTTAGGCACAAACACATCTTTTGGACAAGGCCTTTCAACTATCCTATATTCTTTTGAACCTTGACCCCTGAATGACCTTCACCTTGAAGGTCAAATTGTCCAAAAACTTAAAAATTGGTCATAACTTCCTTATTAGTATACGGATTCTACTCATATTTTGAAACAACACCCCTTTAGGCAAGACCTTAAAACTGATCTGTATTTTTTGTTTTACCTTGTACCGTGAATGACCTTCTATAACATCCAAAAACTTTAAACATTGGTCATAACTTCTTTATAAGTAAGTGGAATTAATTCATATTTGGACACAATGCCCCTTTGGACAAGACCTTCCAACTGACCTATATTAATTTCACCTTGACCTTGAATTACCTTCACATTGAAGATCTAATTGGCCAAAAAACAAATAATCTATCTGGTCCATAAATCAAAGGACAAAGCACCACTTCAGGGGCATTGTCAACTTACCGTGATAGTTCTTGTTTTACATAACTTGGTCAGTCTTCAGCTCAGGATAAACATATGTATGTGTGTATCACACAGATTGTGAAATTGTTGAAATATTCATAAACACCCCGTGATGTTCACTCGTGCCACACTAGAGTATACGAAATAAAATACCTGATTTACCTCCACTGATTAGTTATGAATTGTGAATATGAAGAATAATTTTCAAAAAAAGAAGAACTACTGCAAAGAAAAAACTATTGTACAAAAACGTTTTGATTGCTTTTGGAAGATTGAAAATTGTATTCTTGCCATTTGAATTACATATTAAAACCAGACAAGCACTGCGCTTGTCTTAAATTGCTCACAACGAGGTTATGGTGCTCACAACGAGGATTAAAGCAAAAAAGAGTATATCTTCGTTTCTACGAAGACTTTCAGATAATAATTTACGCTGAAGACTTGTGGGCATTTGTTTTAGGTTAGAATGCACAAAACGTCACCAGAATCGACGTTTTCAATGTTAAATTAGGTCCAAAGAGAAGTTGTCTCCAGTTTTCCAGCTACCCCGAGTGACTGCGTCGCACGTTATTTCCATCAAATTGTCCATCAACAGGCAATATCTTTACATGTGCATACTCGGAAAACACATCGCTAGCTAACTGCATTCCGATAATTTTACATAAATGTCTGTAATCTTCAAAAATTATGAAAAACTCACCTTGTTTATCGTGTCACTCGTCATAGATGGGTGCTCACAACGAGGAACGGAAGTTGCTCACAACATTTTTACCGATGGACATTTTTCACTCGTTGTGAGTTAAACGGGGCGTGCTAGTGGCAACTCTGTGGCAAACATTTGGCGACTTTGCGGCGAATTCACCAGAATATTAAGTTGTTCGCCAAAAGTTTGCCAGAAACTTTCAGTGGAAAACTAATTTGCCAGAGATTGCCAGAATCTTTCTATCAAAAAAAATATTCGCTGAAAGTTCACCAGAAACTTTTCTATAAAAACCAGTTTGCCAGATAATCGCCACAAACATATCAGTTTCTGAAAGTTAATCCAACTTTGTTCAGTAAATAACTATTTTGCCAAGGAATTATATTATTATGCACATATAAAAAAAGTCCTTCATGTACCTACCTATAACCACGGATTTAAATGTCAATTAAAGTCCGTGCTATAACCTACCTACCTACCTACCCAACCTTATTTTAATGGGTCGGGAAGTGGAAACAAACAAATTTTTATTTTTTGCCCAAGAGTTATCAAATTGAAACATCATATGTATCATGGAGGGTATTGTAGTTCACAATAACAGTTAAAAAATTATAAGGTAGAAGACCCAAAGTGAAATCGGCAATCTTCGACAATTACCGCCATATCTCGCCATTTATCGTAACGAACTTCGTTTGTTTACGTATAAATTCGGAATTCTAATAATAGCGAATATCCCCGGTCACGTGGTAGTATTCCCCAAGAAAATGACGTAATTTCCGCAGATATCTAACATGGCGTCTTACAGCGTGATACGCTCGGTCGATTCAAAAAAAGTGTAATAAAAAGATGCAGAAACTCAAGTATTCCGACTTTATTATAGAACATAACAATAGTGCAGGTAACCAGTATTACGTGTCAACCAAACCAGCTCTACAAGACATCAACTCTTCCTAAATCGGTTGATAATGAGGGTTGGAAAGAGGGAAGAAGAATCGTTGAGTTTGGCGTGTTACGGTCAAACCTAAGATTTTGTAAAAAATGTAGACTTGGACCAGTTGGGCTACCATTAACAGCACTGATTAACTTTTGACAACATGTTAGGTGAATTTAAACAGGGAGTGTCTGGTTATTTGTATGTGAAATGTCGAAACACAGAATGCGGTCATATGAATTGTGTTCCCTATGGAAAAACACACAGACTCTAGTAGATTGAAGACCTGTGAAAGTTGGAATGCCATGTTTCGTTGTCAACACAAAATTAGGAACAGGTAAGTGATTAATGTATTGCATCATAGTTTACATTAAGTACTATATACTGATAATGAATTCATAGATGTAAGGTCTCGTACCAAAATGAATATATCGATACATTATGATTTATCAGTGTTTATTTACTTGTCTTCCAATGATGTGACATGTCAAACATGTAAAATTATGCGGACCAAATTTATGTTTCAGATTTATAAATAATTAATTTATTATACAGAATACATGTATCTTGTTTGTGTTTAGCTGTAAAACACTACTCCTTATTGTGAAAGAAGTGGCTACTGGTTGGGGACCACCAAAACCGGACAACCACCAAACCCGGACGGCTCCAAAAAATGCTTAATTTTCTATATTCAGTGGTTGTCAGTTACTTTTTATCAACAATAAATGAATGTTTCTTCTAAGTTCTAAAATTAAGTAAATAAATTTATTTCAACCTCCGTAAATGGTAATATTTTAATGTCTATTTCAAGAATGTTGACGTTGAAATTTGGGGGTCAAGAGGGCAATGCCTGACCTCATATACCAACTATAATCATTTGCAGAGTAAACAATAGAATATCCAAAACTTCAGGATTTGTTGCTGAAATATTGTATAACATGTTGAAAATCAAAAATTAAAACAGCCAAGCTTTTATCTGAATTAAATCACATCATGTACATATCTGTCCGGACACATGGTACTGTAGTGTAGACATTTTAGGTAATTTTTATACGCACGTTTTCGAGCCTCAGATATAAGTGTAAATACAATCAGAAATAAACAAACTAGTTTGTTAGTTAGGAGAAGAACCTAGCTGAACTGTCTCAAATTTTTAGGTCTTTAGGTTAAAAATTATGAAATCTGTACGGAAAAATGTTTAAAAAGTGTCAGGTTGAGGGTCCCCGACCAGTAGCCATACGGCTAGCCAAAAGTTCTAGCCGTACGTGACTCACATACTCCATATAATTTTGAAAAGTGCCGTACGGCTAGCCAATACAGTGTGTCCTGGCTAGTCGTACGTGACTCACGTACGGCTATAACTTTTGGCTAGCCGTACGGGCCCGTACGGCTAGCCACTTCCTATTGTGAAATGTTTTATAAACTTCCCTCTGAACTGTTTTAATTTCCCCAAAGTCACTGAGAAATTTGAAAAACAAATGATAAAACATTGCTAAATTAAATCTTGCAACAATGCAATTTTTAGTAAGACATTACAGAATCCTACATGTACATTATATAAAAGACACAGTTTACACTAGGCTGCCAATACACACAGTCACAGTACTAATATTCAATGTACATGAGGCAGCTAAATATAGCTCTATATTAATTTATGCAATGTGTTATTATCACGGTTATGTAAATTACAATCCATGTGAAGTTTTTTTTGACAAAATATTTGTATACTTTAATGAAATAATTTGTTTCTTTCATTTTCTTACAGCAATGATTGATAGTGTAGGTGGGCCGGTGAGGGTCAACAATTTGTTGTCAACACTAAATATACCAACAATTGGAAATAAAAACATGAAAAGAAATGGAGATACGTGTTGGAAATATCATTGAGACAGCACTGGCTTCTATGCCGACAGAATCTGCTGCATAAGATCAAGGAAATGGAGTAAGACACATTTACATTTACAATGATATTTTCGAAATAACATGTACTTGAATTGGAAGAATTTCAAAAATTATTTTGTAATTATATGTCTATGCAGCTTATCATGGTATAATCCTATATTGCTGGCACACTCGTGGTTTAGGGAACCAAAGAATATTATACAATCCATATATGAGAAAAGAATTTTTAAACAATGGCTTTGTTGTTTTTGCATGTTACTCTATATTCATGTACATATTTCTTTTTTCAAAATAACATGAATGTGTAATTGTTTTTTTAAAAAAGTATTTATTTCTACAGGGGCGGCGAAATCAATTGTCCGTATTGCCCAGGTTGTCCCACAGCCTGTACGGACAAGTGGAAATTTTCTAAAATTTACTATATAAGTATCATACGGACAAGTAAGGAAATGCTTCAAGTAAAAACGGACAAGTTAGTCAAAATCAGATTTTGCCGGCCCTGATTTCTACATGACAAACTGGGTCCGCCTGGGCTCCTTGCCATTGGTACTTGTTGCTTGGTCATATGGAGGTTGCGTTCAGTGAACGCCGCCTTTCCTTGTTGATCTTGTTTATCATATTTTACCTTCATTGGTTTAAGTCTAAAATTCATATTTAATACATACATTCTTTTTAAGGGATGTGCATCATGAAGAATCAATGGTATCAGAACACAACATCATGGAAGATCTTATTGACAAGATCTCGGAGGATGTCCTTTGCCAGATGTTTGCCAGCACTAAAGTGAGTACTGGTAGTTTGTTTTCTGTATTTTGTTTATTTACGAAAGTAAAGGACTATGCAAAACTGACTGGTGTTGTTGAACTGTTTGTGTTATGTCAGTTGCTTCAATATATGAATATCTCTCCATATACTGTTTGTACATATGTATTTTTTTTTATTCAAGGTCTATTCATCAGTCAGATGCTACAGTTACAAATGACAGTGAATGGTCAGATTTATACAATTGTGATTAACAATCCTCAACAATACATCAAACAAAAATGCCTATTAAACTGTAAGTTGAAATCTATGAGGTTTTTTTTATATATATTTATAATCATGGTGTAGCAATTAAATGATAATACTTTGATAATTTTGTAATTAATGCTATTTGGGGTCGTCTTCAATAGAAACAATTTGATGTAACTTCATGTGATGAATAATCGATATGCAGTCCGAATTATTTCATAAAAGTGATTACTAAAATTGGTCAGGAAAAAGTCGTGCAATTAGCATTAATAATTAACAAAACTTATTCTAGTAACTGTATGAACATTGTGTTACATTAATTATAAATATGTTATTGTCAATTCATTGGTGTTCAATCTTCAATATTTGTCAATATTACGTTTAAAGATGAATTTTAAAATACAGAAAATATTTTTGAAATATATTTTTACAATTACAGTTCTCACAGACAGTCAAAGGTTGAAAACAAATCAGAAGTGGTCCACATCTTAAAAAACCTCACAGCAGATTAAGACTTTCCCCGAAATTTCCCTGTAAAACCCGCAGTGGTATGTCCAGTGCAGTAGATACTGCCTGGCACAAAAGAGGATTTGACAGTTTAACATGTAAGTAAAATAAGATTATTTTTATCCCCCCACAATGTGGGACCATACAGCGTGGCACTTGTCAGTCTGTCCCAAAATCTTGTGAACGCAACTCCTCTTAAACCGGATGGCAGATTTTGCTTAAACTTCCAGGGATTAACAAACTTAATGTGTAGATGGTAGTAAAGGAAGGAATTTTTGCTGCAACCAAATTTAACAGAATAATGGCCCTTTGTTGATTTTTAGTTTTCAACTTGTGGCACATGTAGTCCAAAAAACTATTTGACCTAGAGTCATAAGATTGACAGAACAGTGGCGTGTGGGGGCATCCGTGTTTTATTGACACATTTCAAGTTTTTCTCAGTCATCATGTCAGTAATGATTTAGAATTTGTCAGAAAAGTATCTGTGTATATTTTAACCACTGTTATTGATGTATAATTGAAAAAGTGAGTTTTGCATACAAGTAAGACTGGTTAGTCAACATTGTTCTTTCAAACAGTGGCATTTAGAAGAAAAATCCTAATGGTTATTTGAATTACCCTGGTTTTAACTTTGAGTTCTGACCTAGCTGTCATGTTCACAGCATGGTTCATTTTTGTGTCGCCTCTACGGAGTAGTGGTAACATATAGGGATCATTTCTCCGTCGTCTTGTCTATCTGTCCGTCCGTCACAAAACTTGTCCGGACTACTCCTCATAAACTACAGGTGCAATTTCATCCAAACTTTACAGGAATGATCAGTACCAAGTCTAGTTGTGCATTTTGTCAGCATTTTCCGGTTCAATGATTTTTGTCAGAGTTATGGCCCTTTAATAATTTTTATTTTTTTAAGTTTGTCTTGACTACTTCTCTTATACCACTAATGCAATTTCAATGAAACTTTACAGGGTTGATCTGTAGCTTAAGTCCTTGTGCATATTTCATGGGTTTTCTGGTTGAATGATTTTTGGCCGAGTTATGGCCCTTTGATTAAAAGGTGTTTTTTTTCTGTGTGTTGCCAGATACACAAAAACTTGTCCTGACTACTCCTCATAAACTACTGGTGCAATTTCATCCAAACTTTACAGGAATGATCAGTACCAAGTCTAGTTGTGCATATTGTCAGCATTTTCCGGTTCAATGATTTTTGTCAGAGGTATGGCCCTTTTTTTAAGTTTGTCCGGACTACATCTCTTATACCACTAATGCAATTTCAATGAAACTTTACAGGATTGATCAGTTGCTCAAGTCCTGGCACATATTGCACAGGTTTTCAGGTTGAATGATATTTTGGCAAGTTTGATGAAAAGGTGGTTTTTTTTCTGTGTGTTGCCAGATACATAAAAGCTTGTCCGGACTACTCCTCAAAAACTACTGGTGCAATTTCATCCAAACTTTAAAGGAATGATCAGTACCAAGTCTAGTTGTGCACTGTCTGTCTGTCACAAAACTTGTCCCAACATGAAATTGGCCATCATGAGGCGACACATGTGATCACTGATCGCTCTTGTTTGTTATTTTGGTGTTTTTTTAGCTCACCTGTCAAAGTGACAGGGTGAGCTTTTGTGATCGCTTTTCGTCCGGCGTCCGTCCGTTCGTCCGGCGTCCGTAAACTTTTTCTTTAAATGACATCTCCTCATAAACCACTAAGCCAATTTCATCCAAACTTCACAGGAATGTTCCTTTGGTGGTCACCTTTAAAAATTGTTCAAAGAATTTAATTCCATGCAGAACTCTGGTTGCCATGGCAACCGAAAGAAAAAACTTTAAATATCTTCTTTTAAAAAACCATAAGAGCTAGAGCTTAGATATTTGGCATGAAACATCTTCTAGTGAGTGACTACCAAGTTTGTTCAAATAAAAGCCCTGGGGTCAAAATTGGCCCCGCCCCGGGGGGTCATTGATTTTCCCTATATGCATATAGTAAAAAGTTAAAAAATCTTCTTTTAAAGAACCCAAAGAGCTAGAGCTAAGATATTTGGCATGAAACATGTTCTAATGGGTGTCTATCAAGTTTGTTCAAAATGAAAAGCCCTGGGGTCAAAAATTGGCCCCGCCCCGGGGGTCATTGATTTTCCCTATATGCATATAGTAAAAACTTAAAAAATCTTCTTTTAAAGAACTCAAAGAGCTATGGCTAAGATATTGAGCATCAAACATGTTCTAATAGGTGTCTACCAAGTTTGTTCAAATAAAAGCCCTGGGGTCAAAATTGGCACCGCCCCAGGGGGTCATTGATTTTCCCTATATGCATATAGTAAAAACTTAAAAATCTTCTTTTAAAGAACCAAAAGAGTTAGAGCTAAGATATTTAGCATGAAACATGTTCTAATAAGTGTCTACCAAGTTTGTTCAAATAAAAGCCCTGGGGTCAAAATTGGCCCCGCCCCGGGGGGTCATTGATTTTCCCTATATGCATATAGTAAAAACTTAAAAAATCTTCTTTTAAAGAACTCAAAGAGCTATGGCTAAGATATTTAGCATCAAACATGTTCTAATAGGTGTCTACCAAGTTTGTTCAAATAAAAGCCCTGGGGTCAAAATTGGCACCGCCCAGGGGGTCATTGATTTTCCTTATATGTGTTATTATAGCAAAATCTTAAAAAATCTTCTTTGAAAAAACTCAAATAGCTAGAGTTTAGATATTAAGCATGAAACATCTTCTAGTAAGTGTCTACAAAGTTTGTTCAAATAAAAGCCCTGGGGTCAAAACTGGCCTGGCCCCAGGGGTGTCATTGTTTTTTACTATATGTGTATAGTAAAAACTTTAAAAAAATCTTCTTTTAAAAAGCCCAATGAGCTAGAGCTTAGATGTTTAGCATGAAACATCTTATGGGTGTCTACCAAGTTTGTGCAAATAAAAGCCCTTGGGTTAAATTGGCCCTGCAACATTGGGGGGGGGGTTGGGGGGGCCTATATACAGGTGAGCGACCTCAGGGCCATCATGGCCCTCTTGTTAACATGATACCTTGATTTCTTAACAAGGTTAGATAAACTTATAATATATGAGCCACTTGTCATTTGTAAATAAATCTAGGTTTTGCAATGCAAATACATGTTCATCCCAACAGATCAAAATCAAGCCAGCAATAAATAATAATTGCCTTTGGTGTTTATTTTCTTCATTTGTAGGTGGGCTTTACTAATACATTACTGCCACTTTACTTCAAAGTGGGGTTTTGGGGTATCATTCACCTTCAGTGATAGTTCTAGTTTTATCCAGTATAAACATGGTTACATGGAAATGAAAAATAAACCTTGTTTTTTTCAGTGTATTGCACCATTAAACTAAATATGGAGAGAAGCTTAGTCACCAAAGCAGTCAACACCAAAATACACACAATGGCCAGGGCACTTAAACTTGGAAGAGTGAAAGAGTAAAGTAGTGCGTTTTTTTAGCTAACAAAGTGACATTGCTAGCTTTTGTCTATCTTTCGTCCGTAAACTTGATCTTTAAACAACATCTCATAAATTGCCAAGCCAATTTCATGCAAACTTACGATATTGTCTAGTCAGTTTTTGTTTTGCTTGCAATCGTTATATGACATGACTAAAGACATTTAGTTTTATTCTTAAGTTATTATGTTTATGTTTGTATAAGACCCAAATATATTGTTAAGATTCATTTTTACAAATTTGAAAGCCATTATTGTTCTAGTCAGTTTTTGTTTTGCTTGCAATCATTATATTACATGCAGGCTGTCCAGCGTCCCTAAAATTCCTAAAAAATCCTAATTTTTTTCAGTTTGGCTAAAATTCCTAAACAAATGAATAATTCAAAGGGAATTCCTAAAAAAGCCCTATTTTTTCACTTAAATTCCTATTTTTTATCTTTTGTGATAAACATATTGCGAAACAACCATGTTTCAATCACAACTTAAATTTTAAATGGAACAATGAAAATTGTCGAACTTTGACTATATCAAAATAGTCACCTGTTTAAAATTGTGATAAAAAAATTTCCAAGGAAGTTACATTTTTATTGGCTTTAGAGTTTTACCATTTACCTCAGTCTTAGGTTTATGTAAAGCAACTATTTACATGATGAACCACAAATTTCATCAAACTTTATGTAGGGGTCCTTATTAATAAAGTCTTAATTTGTAATCAAGTTATTTTCAAGTGATGACTGTAGAACAGATATTTTGTAAGTGATACCAGCTGGCAGATCTAGACAAGTTTCCTTTGCTTATTATAAAGTGGGTAAGGTAAACTGGCAGTAATGATTGGATGCTTTAACCATTTTGCTACCCAATTAGGGTACTAAGAAGTGACACCTTCGTATACATTAACATGTACTGAACATAATTATGTTATAACATATAGTGTAAGTTTTTTTTAAAATATGGAAAAAAACTGTTGAAAATCATTGAAAGAACTGACACTGTTGTGAAATTTCTACAATTTTTAGTAGCCTGATTTATCTTGAACGAATTCTTCATAGGTGTATACCCTGCTGTTTGAATTTAAGTTTTAATATTCCTGGGAATGATTTGAGTGGGTCATAATGTTTTTATTATTTTTTAAGAAAGATCTAGACTTGTTGAAAATGTACCAACCTTAAAACGATAAATGTTGATAATAAATGCATTTATAGCTAAAATAAATTTAAAGCATAATTTCCCCTTCCATTTATTATTGGCTAATCATAGCTTAACTAATTGAATATTGGTTGTTCAGGGATACTTATAACTTTGAAAATGTTTTCATTCTAGTTATGTTTGAATGTAGTTTTTCAGCTCTTTTTAAAGGCAGTTGACCAGTGAATCAATTTCTTCACTGGTGACTATGGAACACTGGTAACACCTTTGCTATAACCGAACTAGAGCATTATGAGTGAGTTACTTTTGTGTCAAATATGCAAAGTTGAGCCCATATCATGGTCTTTTGAGGTCATAATTTAGTTACAAATTCCAAATTTTAGCCCTAAAATTTCTTTTATTTACCCTAAAATTCCTAATTTTAGCCCTAATTTTTTTATGCCCCCGCCATGTAATGGCCGGGGCATATAGTGTTACCCTGTTCCGTCCTTCCGTCATTCCGTCCTTCCGTCCTTCCGTCATTCCGTCCTTCCGTCATTCTGTCATTCCGTCATCATCAGTTTCCGTTCATTATCTTAGTAACGGTTGCACATATTCAACTCAAATTTGACATATGGATATGTCATGAGAAAATACAGGTCAAGTTCGAATTTGGTCATGGTTCGATGATTTTTGGCAGAGTTATGCCCCTTTTACTTTGAAAATAATATGAAATTTTCAGTTTCCGTTCATTATCTCCCCAACGGCACAACACATTCAACTCAAATTTGACATATGGATATGTCATGAGAAAATACAGGTCAAGTTCAAATTTGGTCATGGTTCGATGATTTTTGGCAGAGTTATGCCCCTTTTACTTTGAAAATAATATGAAATTTTCAGTTTCCGTTCATTATCTCCCAAACGGCACAACACATTCAACTCAAATTTGACATATGGATATGTCATGAGAAAATACAGGTCAAGTTCGAATTTGGTCATGGTTCGATGATTTTTGGCAGAGTTAAGCCCCTTTTACTTTGAAAATAATATGAAATTTTGAGTTTCCGTTCATTATCTCCACAACGGTACAACATATTCAACTCAAATTTGACATATGGATATGTCATTAGAAAATACATGTCAATTTCGAATTTGGTCATGGTTCGATGATTTTTGGCAAAGTTATGCCCCTTTTACTTTGAAAATAATATAAAATTTTCAGTTTCCGTTCATTATCTCCCCAACGGTACAACATTTTCAACTCAAATTTGACATATGGATATGTCATGAGAAAATACAGGTTAAGTTTGAATTTGGTCATGGTTCGATGATTTTTGGCAGAGTTATGCTCCTTTTACTTTGAAAATAATATGAAATTTTCAGTTTCTGTTTATTATCTCCCCAACAGTACAACACATTCAACTCAAATTTGACATATGGATATGTTTTTGGAATGCCCAGGCCCAGTTCGAATTTGTTCATTGTTCAATGATTTTTGGCAGAGTAATGCCCCTTTCACTTTGAAATTAATATGAAATTTACAGTTTCTGTTCATTATCTACCCAACAGTGTTACATATTCAACTCAAATTTGACATATGGATATGTCAAAGGAATGGGCAGGTCAAGTTGGAATTTGGTCATGGTTCGATGATTTTTTTGGCAGAGTTATGTCCCTTTCACTTTGAAAATAATATAGATACATCTTAGGAATAAGCAGTTTAAGTTTGAATTTGGTCGTGGTTCAATGATTTTGAACAAACTTATCTTTCTTGAATATTGGAAAAATTTTGAACTTTCAGTTTCAGCACTCATACTTTTGTGGAAATGTATGTAGCCATTATGGTTGGCTACAAATATGAAATATGCTATTTTCAAAAGGTTAAGACTGAATAATTTCAGTGCCTTGAACATTGTATGGAAATAGTTTGTGTTAACATTGAAAAGTTTTAAGGGCTTTGAACTTAAAATGAAAACAATAATTTGTGCAAACAAATTTGGAACTAAATATTATAACATCTGAAATTTTGGCTGCATGCGGGGGCATCCGTGGCATGATGACACATTTCTAGTTTGAAAATTGCCCTAAATTTTGCCCTAAATTTTTGTCAGAAGGTGCTGGACAGCCTGTACATGGCTAAAGACATTTAGTTTTAATCTTTAATAGTTATGTCTATATTTGTATAAGACCCAAAAATATTGTTAAGATTCATTTTTACAATTTTGAAAGCCATTATTGCTCTAGTTTGTTTTTGTTTTGCTTGCAATTGTTATATGACATGACTAAAGACATTTAGTTTAAATCTTTAGTTATTATGTCTATGAGGGGCGTCCGTGGCCGAGTGGTTAAGGTCATTGACTTCAAACCACTTGCCCCTCACCGCTGTGGGTTGGAATCCCGACAGGGACTTTGGATTCTTTCTTGTGAGGAAGCTATCCAGCTAGCTTAACTGAACGTCAGTGGTTCTACTCAGATACCCGTTCGTGCCTGAAATAATGCAAGGAAGGGCACCTGAACGTCACGATATGACCTTTACTGTGTTGATGTGACGTAAAAACCCAAAACAAGCAAACAAAAAATTATGTCTATGAAATTCGTTGTTTGTATAAGACCCAAATATATTGTTGTGATTAATTTTAACAATTTTGAAAGCCATAATTGTATGTGTCAGATATTGTTTTGCTCACAATCATAATGTTATATGACATATGAGTTTAAATCTGAAGGTATTATGTCCATGAAATATGTTGTTTGTTTAAGACCAAAATATATTTTTGAGATTCATTTTTACAATTTTGAAAGCCATTATTGGTCTAGTCTGTTTTTGCATAACACATAACGCTATTGTTAGTATTTATTGTTATTAATAGTGATTTGTCTAAGTGGATGTCGAAGTATGTATGTTATTCCATGCCAGTTCATGTTTGAATGAAACTTTTTGTCCAGATAGAAGTTTTCAAACTGTAACTTTTCTGATATTTAGCTTTTACAACAATATTATATTTCCCATTTATGGTGCTAAGAAATACTGCAACATGTGCTGAATAATAGCTAGTGTCAAACATTGTTTATATGCTCCCCGAAAAATTTCGGCGGACCATATAGTCATTGGGTTGTCTGTCCGTCTGTCTGTACGTACATACGAACCTGAATTCGTGTCCAGCCCATAACTTTGTTATTTCAAGTTGGATTTTAAAACTATTTCACAGAAATGCTCACCATATTGAGACGACCTGTCGCCCGCAACATTTGGGTCGCTACCTTGAAGGTCAAGGTCACACCATGACCTTGAACAAAATCATGTCCTGCCCATAACTTCGTTATTTGAAGTCGGATTTTAAAGCTATTTAAAAGTAATGATCACCATATTGAGACGATGTGTCGTGCGCAGCATTTGGGTCGTTACCTTGAAGGTCAAGGTCACAGCATGACCTTAAACAAAAATTGTGCCGGCCCATAACTTGGTTATTTGATGTCGGATTTTACAACTATTTCACAGAAATGATCACCATATTGAGACGATGTGTCGCACACACCATTTGGGTCAATACCTTGAAGGTCAAGGTCGCAACATGACATTGAAGCAAAATCGTGTCTGGCCCATAAATTCGTTATTTGAAGTCGGATTTTACAACTATTTCACCGAAATAATCACCATATTGAGACGATATGTCACATGCAACATTTGGGTCATTACCTTGAAGGTCTAGGTCACAGCATGACCTTGAAGCAAAAATGTGTACGGCCCATAACGTCGTTATTTAAAGTGGGATTTTACAACTATTTTGGAATTATCACACTTTGAACATTGTCTGGGACATAACCCTGAAACTTCAAAAGATATACTTTTCTGTATCTAGGATCACCCAGGTTCAACCGGCTCTTGTTTTAATTGATTATTAAGTAATATGAACAATTCATGATAGCATCATAACTAAAGAGTGGAAATTTATGAAAGTCAAATATGTATAGAATCAGTTGCTAATAAAATGTGTGTAAAATTTATCTCTTTTTGGGAATTAATTTCTTTATTTTACAAATTTATCAAATTTCATTTTATTCTACTGATATGTTTGTAATATTTCTTTTATTTTCTATTGAAAAAATGTGTTAAACCAATATGTATTTGTTTTCTTATAATTCAGCTAGTTTTTATTATTCCAATGTTTGAAAAAATTGTTTGCCAGAACTTTACCAAAATGTTTGCCAAAATATCGCCATAACATATTTGCTGAAACTGGCAAATATGCAAATGAAGTTTGCCGCAGTGTTACCAAAAGCTTCTGGCGAACATCCGCAAACTTACTATGCAAATGAAGTTTGCTGCAAATTTGCCGCAAACTTTTGGCGAACATCTGCAAACTTTTACCATGCAAATGAGGTTTGCGGTAAATTTGCCGCAAACAGAAGCTACCTCCCCCTAAAGTTTGCGGCAAGTTTGCCGCTAACCTCATGAGTTGCGGCAAATTTGCCGCAAACCTCATTTGCATGGTAAATAATTGCTGAAAGCAGTTTGCCGCAAACTCACCGCAATGTTTGCGGCAAACTTGCCGCAATGTTCACCAGAGAGCCCTTTTTTTGGTAAGGGTAGGCAGTGCTTTTAATAATATTATTGCCTGTAAACGTAATAAATTAAACAAACGTTTAGTCTAGTAATTATAGGATAGATATTTTTTATCAACAATCAATTATCATAGTATTGCACGCAATCCATAAGTCCCCTATAATGTAGAACCCCAGCAACATTCAGAAGGTCCATTGGCCATTCAATTATGCCCTTGAGTGAATGAATGTACTGATACGAATGAACTTAAATCTTTTGAGTTCCTAGTTTCCGTATCATAGTTACTGTAGTGTGTTAAGTTTTCCTGTCTGGTAAGGAAATCATACAACATAATAATTTATAATAATCAAAAGATGCAATATTCTCAGGATGAATATGTAAACTAATGTTTCAACTTTTCTCTATTTTAAGTAAACTTGTTGGAAAAATTTCAAGTTCTTTCAAAATGATTTCAGGAAACAGTTTTTAGACACGTGCAGACAGACAAACTGAAAGATACTCTATTGTTAAATCTTCATACATCCCTGTTTG